CCTTTTTACCCCCTTTTCAGTCCCTGCTAGAGAGCAGGGACTCATGCGGCTCTCTTGTGAGATAAAGAGCTATATTTCTGATCTGTTGGGCGGATTGCAAACCACGCCCCGTAAAACTCAAAAAAAGTGTTGTGAAGCCACCATTTTATTAGCATTAGCCCAGCGCAGAAACGCAGAGAGACTAATTTATGGCAACACAAAATAAAACATGGGAGCGGTGGAGATGAGGAGGTGTCGGCGTTCTGGCGATTTACTCGGAAGGCTTCAGTAGAAGCTGCTGGGACTCCCAGCAGCTTCTACTGAAGCCAGTCCCAACTCCGGGGACTTCCGGCCGGGGATTTTGGGCGGCAATATACGCCGTGAAGTTGTTTGCGGCCTGCCAGTAAACCCAAAACAGAAGAAGAATAAGTGACGTCAGTGGCTTCATTTGCCAAATCAACCCTGGATTTATTCCGGCGTTACTCTTTAGTTCTCATGGACCTTTGTGGGAAAAGTACTGCGGTCTGAAAGCGCCTATTATAGCACTTTTAGGTTCCCTTTGAATTAGTTTTTGGATATCTAAAATAAGATCTGTGGTTAAACTTAAAATTTTCCTTCACTTTTTGTCCACGATATAAATTAAAGCGATACTTCTACAGGAACAAANGAGCAATCTGGTGCCACTAAATGTTTTTAAAGCTTGGTTGGATCCTACTCAATCGGAAGCTGTTGATACCTGTTCATGTGGATAGTTATGTAAATTGTAAACCCTGTAATGATGCTGTATGATGTCCTTTTTGTTGTTCTGTTTATTTTTTTATGTTTCATGTGGAACCTACTTGAGCAGGTCTCCCTTGAAAAAGAGATCAATAATCTCAATGGGATACACCTGGATAAATAAAGGTTTGAAATTAAATGAAAAGTTAATTACACACTCATGACTGTCTGAAGCTTCTACACGTCTAAAAACGGTGGTTGGTAAAAAGTGACTAAATAGGACAACTAAATGTCACCATGACATATTCCAGTCTGCCTTTGGTGACGTCAAGTTATGTAATGTAGTTTGTTTAAAATGTGCTTCTTAATTCTGGAGATTGGCATTTACGCTTTAAATATTACAAAAGTGGTGTAAATAGAAATTATCCTGCTGAACAAAACGTATAAGTATCACAAATAGTTGTTTGCCACAGATCTTTTTTCAAAATCCAATTGCTTTTTGTAAAACTGGGAGCCATCGTGAAGCTAACTTCTGGGTCAGCCTACGAATATATGTCATCAGTACAACACTCTATTTTACAATGACCTGCCATCTGGTTGATGGTGGCTTTGCATCAGTGTGAGACATGTTGGGAGATTCCATTATTTGAAGGTTCTTTTGTATCTGAACCACAATGGTAGTGAGTGACAGGCCTTGTCGTCCAACTCAGTTTGGTTTGCTAATGACAAAGGAGTGTCTGGAGCACAGCTATTTAAGACGATATACACACTACAAGACTGTGCCAATACACAGTGTGCAGTGGAAACAAAAGAGCTGCATGGATACAGTTAGATCGTATACCTTGACAACTTGTAGTTTTGATTCAACGCCTGGTTTCAATACTGCACAGAGCTGACGTCATTTACAGCTTTTAAAGAGTGGAAACAATGGGTCTGGGTGTTAAAAAATTCTGCATCATCCCTAATCCAGCAGCAGTAGCCTCACTGGTAGTGTCACCACCGTATTGGAAATGCATTCCAGGTCGTAAGATAACTTGTCTTCTA